AAGGTGGGGGACAAAGTGTGTTTATTTAGAAATGTTAAGCCATAAATTTGAACTGAAATTTGTATTTTAACTATGATTATTTTGCAACATTAAACAGACATGGGTATTATTTCTTATATATGTCAAAATAAAAGTTACATTGGAATTTTTTTCCTGACAAAATGTTTGCACCTTTGGTTATTTAGCATTTTTTCCAAGTAACAGTAGATTTACAGGTTATTTGCACACAACACAGACTAAAGATCAAACTTCCATGTTAATATTTCAGATTTAAAAGTTCCCTCTAACCTTCAGCAGATACGTCGGGGTATAAACTGAGTTTAACCTTTCAGAGAATCTCTGACAGTCTGACCATGAAAAAAAAAAAAGCACCAAACCGCCTCACAATGTGAACTGATGAGGGTCCAAAACCTTGGAGAGCTCTAATATTCCCTCACAATGCAGAGAAACTCGTGCCAACACCTGATTCCAATCATCTGTGATCATATGTGATTATTAGCACCTGTGGGCAGACCACCCCCTCCCCGACCCCTCCTCCTCCCACACATCAACACTCATGTACGCTGTGGTTTGTGCAGACAATACATTTTATGCAGCGATCAGCAAAAGGCTTGTAGATTACGTTTTGGATTGGGACCCGACCTTAAACTTTTTTTTTCGATGGATCAGTCAATCAGTTGGACATTCATATGATTTAATGGGAATACAGAAACCATATTTTTACTCAAATTGTGGTAAAAAAAAAAAACACAGAGCACAGTGTAGTTGTGGCCAAGCATTATCTGAAATTGATATCAACTGTTTCTACAGTTTGCTTTAAGGTTTTTTTTTCGTTTCCCAATCATATTTTACAAATCACTGACATATTTGTTGAACACGGTGGTTGTGCAATGACTGTAACCCAGTACAACGGCAGGATAGCATTTTATTTTGAATTTCTGCCACTAAATATGAGGAGACCACTTTGGATTTTTTTAAATGAAAGAGTCAATTATTATAACTTTTTATTTTGGATGCATGTTTGTGCAGGTATCTTGGACGAAGGGATGTTTTCTACCAGATCCCCTTCTTGCCACTGCCATGAGCTGGAACC